CACACACACACACACACACACACACAAACCACTGCCATCGAGTTGATTCCAGCTCATAGTAACCCCATGTGTTACAGAGTAGAGTTGCTCCATAGGGTTTTCTTGGCCATAATGTTCACAAAAGCAGATTGCCAGGCCTGTTTTCCACGGCGCCACTGGGTGGGTTCCAACCACTAACCATTAGGTTAGTAGACCGGCAGAAACCATTTGTGCCACCCGAGGACCTTGAACACTGGATTAGGAGTAGAAAATGAAGGCGAATCTCTTAACCTCTCTGAGATTCTGTTTCCACACCAAGAAAATGAAGATAATAATGCCCTTCAGTGGAGTCATAAGAATCAAGATAATATGGCACAAAGAACTAATGGGACACAGGTACCACAGCCTCCACCAGCCTGAGCCCAGAAGAACTAGATGGTTCTCGGCCACCACCATCAACCACTCCGACAAGGATCACAATAGAGGGTCCTGGACAGAGCTGGGAGAAAATGTAGCGCAAAATTCAAATTCACACACACACAAAAAAAACAGATTTACTTGTCTGATAGAGACTGGAAGAATTCCCGAGAATATGGTCCCCAGACACCCTTTTAACTCAGAACTGAAGCTACTCCTGAAGCTCACCCTTCCGCCAAAGATGAGACAGGTCTATAAAACAAACAATAACACACGTGAGGAATGTGCTTCTTAGTTCAATCATGTACACGAGAACAAAAGGGCAGCACCTGCCCAAAAGCAATGACGAGAAGGCGGGAAGGGACAGGAAAACTGGACTATGGAATTGGGGAACTGGGGTGTGGAAGGGGAGAGTGTTGACACATCACATGGATTGCAACCAATGTCACAAAACAATTTGTGTATAAATTGTTGAAAGAGGAACTAATTTGCTGTGTAAAGTTTTACCTAAAGCCCAAATATATATACATATATGTAGATATATATACACACACACATGTATGTATGTACATAGAGAGAGAATTGGAAAAAAGAAAAAATACAGCAAATTTTAAATCCTTCTGTAAACATAAGGTGTTATTATTTTTAATCCTTTCCTCTTCCATGGTTCTCCTTTTAGTCTTCCTATTTAAAAAACAAAACTCTTCCCTTAAACCTACTATCTCTTCAAGCTGCCTAAATTTTCTTTCTTTGTTTTTTAAAGCACTAAAATTTTCAAAAGAGGCCCAGGTGAGGATAGTTGGGGAGTGCGGGTATCACACGGTCTGGGCCCAGCTTGCTGGTCTGGAGGGATTCATAGGCATATGAAACTGGGAAGCATAATTCCAAAACAAGGAAGTGACCCGGGAAGAACCTGTCTTCAGAACTACACAGAGCCATACGAGTCCTCTTTCCACCCCTAGAAGACTGTCCTCAGGCTTTGTTTGTAAGAGGGTGACAACCGTACCTACCTTGCAGGGCTGCTATGAGGGCTAAAATATATAAAGCCTGGCACAGTGGTGAGCACATGGTATTCCCCCACAAACCCAGGTCTATTTAGGAAAATGATTAAGTGCCCTCCTCCTTACCCTCATTCCAACAGCCTGGGAAGCAGTGTCCACCCCAGTCCTTCTTGTACCTCTGGTTGAGTTCAGCGAAACAAACTAACTGAGCAATGCTAGGTGTGTTGGGGACGGGGGAAGAAATATGAATGTGGCACTGTCCTTGCCTCTGTTGGTGGGTGTCGGGGGAGACAGGTACGTTAAACCAATCCCTTTGATCTAATACAGAGAGTGCACTTAAGGGGTGAGCACAGAAGACTGGGCTGACACTAATGAGGCGCATCGATTTCCCTCTCAAGGGGTCAGCCCGGAGGAGATGCCCCCAGAGGTTTGGGAAACACCTAAGCGATGGGGTTGAGATGAGGGGAGAGAATAGGAGACAAGGGATCCTACAAGCTAAGCCAGCCAAGCCAGCCTGGGACAATGCTGGCCTCCCTGGAGGACAGAATTCCCAACTCTGGAAGCTTATACAACAATCTCCTTGTGACCTTGCTCCTTAGTTATTTCTTAGTGTTGCTGTTCTTTAACTGCTTCAAATTATACTATTTTTATCCAAATAATGCACGTCTTCTGTGTTTGTTTGCCAGCCATGCCCCCCTCTCCTAGAGGAACCCTTATTATAAGCTCTGCCATGCCAATCTTCTTCCACATGTTGCTGTAAAAAAATTAGCATAGCTAGTTTATGAAAATACCTGGAGGGGAGAGGGCAAGGCCAGCAAACAAATGGAGAAGGTATGCGTTATTTGCTTAAAAATATGGTACCCGAATGGTAAATATGTTTTTTGAAAAAATTTCTGACTTTCTAACTTGTGTTAGTTAAAATGAGTGGGGCAGGAATTTCCTCATAACCAAGGAGAGGGGGTTGGGGCAATCAGGGTGCCCACTCCTAGGCCAGATGAGAGGATGCTCGGACCTGAGTCAGGGCTGGGGGCAGCTGGGACAGGTGAAGAGTAGAGACCCAGAGTGGAACAACTGAAGACTAACCCTTCCGCCCACCCAGGCATTCTCTTCTCGGAAGGAAGGCAATTTCTGGCCAACTCACCACGCCAATGGAGAAATAGTTGTTCATGATGTTGTATGGGACCTGGTCCCCGTTCTCCACCTCCTCTCTGGGGATGACTTCCAGATGCCAGCGGTCCAGCATGACCAAGGGGCTCTGCTCGATGTCCTTCAGAATTTTTGTCAAGCTGCCCCCCTCGTATCCTGTGGAGCACAGCATTGCATTTGCCACCAGAGCAGAGAGGCTAAGTTGTTGATGCACAGGAAGCTGTCAGGGTAGGGAACCCCATGGGCATCTGTAACTGGGAAACTCCCCAGTGTGTCTTTGTACTGCAGATACTTACATTCCCTGAGCCAAGGAGAAGGGGAAGGCAATAGGAGTTAGTTAGAAAGAGGCTGGGCGATTTGGAAGCAGGAGGAGCAGGGGGCACTGGATAAAAGTGGCAGGGCTGTGTAGCTGAGCCCTAGAGAATTGTGATGGCCCGGATGGTTAGGAAGCTGTTCATGGGCGAGCAACAGATCTGTTCCAGGACCATGTCATGTAACAGATGGGCAGTGTGGTAGACAGAATTTTAAGATGGCTCCCATGTTTCCTGCCCTGTGGCATACACATCTATAATCCCCAGGACTTGTGAATAAGATGAGATAGTCACTTGTGATTAGGTTATGTTATATGTCATAGTTGACTTTAAGAAAGGAAGATCATTTGGGACAGGGTGGGGAACGACTTAATCAGGTGAGCACTTAAAAGGGACTGGGCTCTTCCTTAAGAAAGAGATTCAAAGCCTGAGAGGGATTTGATGTGAGGGAGATTG